ATATATATATATATATATATATATATATATACATATATATATATATATACTAATCACGAAAACCATATAGGTCTAGTATTCAGATGTACTCATCACATGAACCACTCTGACCTCAAGGTATTGATCCATTTTTGAACTTTAGGGTCGGGAAGCCTGAATACTGAAGAATCTGTTGTTACGTTGGCTTTGCAGATCAATGACAATGACAGTGACAGCTAATCGAAATAATGCCATAGGCCTAATCAGTGGCGGATCGGGTGGCTAGCCACCCCCTGTTCGTCTACCGTGAAAAAAAAAATAATGGTCACTCGTCTTGTGTGTGTGCATCTCGTGTACTCTCGTAAAAATACGGTACACTTTCTATTTTAAGGTTCCTTTTTTTCAGATGCCATCTAAGATCGTCTAGCAGTCTGATAATTCCAAACAAATCTTAAATGGGGGTGGACGCCCTCCCAAAACCACCCCTCCCCAACGCTCGGTCATTACCCACCCCATTGCTAAATCTGGGAAACGCCACCGCATAATGCATTACAGAGTTCAATCGCACCCTCTGTTTGGTTCGTTCTGGCAAGATTATTATGTCACCATCTTTCCTGATATTTTCTAAACTAATTCCTCCATGCATTACGTACATATCCTAGTAAACTCGTAGTTGCCAACAGTCTTTTGATGCTTCTTTTAGGGGGTCCCCAGATAGAGGTTGTTGGAGAATGATTTTTCTCCCCGACGATGTTTTATTTTGTCCGACGTTGGTGGATAGGGGAAGTGTTGTATTGTTGTTTCTGGTCCAATAGGTTAGACATTTCTTACCGCCAAGTGGGAATAGTATCCCGTTTAACACTAGGCCTACTAGCTCCTATTCAGAACAACTTGATTCCAAAGTTTGGTTTCTCGTTATTAAGGATTCTCCTGTGTTTTGTTCTAATTGCAGTTAAAGATCTGGCTTTAGGCTTTGTGTATACCCGGAACTCGTCTTAACAGTTAGGCTTAGTTAGGTATTCATTCGTAACTGATGTGATCAACCGGTTTAATAAGCGTACAAAACGACATTAATGCGAAATTATTAAGTCAGTCTTTACATTAGTTTTTTTACAGTAAATTTGTATTGGAAATTTAAACTGAATTTTAAATCAAGACAATTTTAATTTTTATACTTTAATTACCTAGTTATTTTTATATGTCAAAACTACAAGCTTAACATTGTAGGCCTATATTCATTCATTTTCTTTAATTTCTTTTATAAGCCTATATTTTGTATGTATTTTTATTGCGCATGTCTTAGCCATGTCTGTGCATCTGTAAATTTTAAACCAAGTTTTAACTACAGATAAGTTAATTTTATTTGTCGAAAGCAATTTTTAGGCCAATCAAAATTAAGTTCTTAACTTCTAGTGTTTTGGGCTGAATTTTGAATTATTGTTCAAAAACAATGCGAACTGTAAGGGTTCTATTCAATGGCGGCGCCAGCGGGGGAGTTGGTAGCAGGGGTTAAGCACCCACCAGACAGGTCAAGCCCCTCTCCCCATCAGGCAGAGCTCGTCGGGCAGACAGGCTGAACAAATAATTTTATAAAAATAGTCCGTCACAGTCTGAGCGTGTCATTTATGGCCATCCAGAGGTTATTCCTGAAAAAATCTTATTTTGGAGAGGAACACCCTCTGAAATCCTTCAAGCTCAAGACCCCTATCGGACAGCTCACCCCCACCCCCAGAAGATAGGCCTACCCTACAGCCGCTAGCCGCCACTGACCATGTTTACAGTATTTTGTATGATCTCTTTTAAATAAGATAACACAATATGTATCCAACTATAGCATTCTGTAATGCGATACCCAATCGTCATGCGATATACCTCCTATGTATATTATGTGTGTAAAATAATTTCGTAAATATTCGAATAGTTTCATCTGGTTTGCTTAATAATTATTGTAGAACTGTAAGTTAACATCCTTTGTGTTGCGTTTATTAACGATCAAAACAGTTCTGCAATACTTTGATTTCGTTTAATAAATTAACGAGCCTATATCTTTAGGATCGGGGCGTGGGGAGAGGGTAGTGATGAATTCACCGGAATCACTGGGGGAAGATGAGAACTTATAGTAGGCCTCTTCGTTAGTTGAAAGTCACTTTGTATTCATTGTATTATCTCACAGTAACCATCGCCGACTGTCACAGTGTAGGCCTTTGTCACAAGACAAACAAAAACCGAAGCATGATTTTGATAATGAAATGTTTGACTTGACGCAATATACTGTATTTTACGAACCTCTAGTACCAAGTGGTATTCGTTAAAAAAAATTGTAAACTACTGTAGAGAAGGTGTGAGTTTCCACTACCTAACCTAGCCGACCAGTATGAACCAACGACCAGTGCAGCAGCGTGTTCTATCGCAATCTAAGTGGTAGATTCTCTAGGCCCTGGCCCTAGCTACATTTACCTTCGATAAAAAACGAATTATTTTAATCGCTAGCTAGCACTCCCATTTAACAAAATATTGTTTTAATTTTCATTAAAACGTATGCATACTTTGTGGACCTTTCTGTCCTGTTTTGTAGTTTTTAGATCGCTCAATTGTGTTGTTTACATGCACTTCGCGAAAATCTAGCTTAGCGGTGTCAAATAAGTTGCTGACTTCCACACACTTTTTTATTTCGTCATCGTAAACATGTGCGCTCATTTTAACGACTGCAGGCGTTGGTGGTAGTTCGTTGAAATTGAATTAATAGTGAATTTTATAGCAGAAATAGAAAAGATTGAATTGTTAATAAATCAATACAACAAATCTGATTTTATTAAGAAAAATATACATTATCACTTTGAAAAACGTACGCAATCGGACTTTTTAACGTTATTACTTGGTCGATGATGCAAAGGGCAAAGGTCATTGGTAATATCATGGAGGAAATATATTAAGTATATATTATATATTTCCTCCATGGTAATATCGACTATTCGTAAAACGGACGTTTGCTGGGTGTTTACCCAAAATATTACAAATAATTTCTGAAAACCAGACTAATGAGACTACTTCGATGCTGTTGTTAGCATTGTTGAAGTACGTTGTTGCCAGCCAGAAGATGAAAATGGTGGTACAATACAACAGAGCTGGCTTAGATGCCTACGTTACGTAATCGTGTCCTTGTAATCCGAGCCGACTTTACCGTTAAGCAAGTTAATTTACCGTTATTCTAGTAAAGTTAAGTCACTTAACTTAAGTGACTTAATTCCTTTAACTAGCTATAATTGAGTCGTTCACGTCGAACTTTTAACTAGTTAAGTGGATGTATAACTAGATAAAAGTTCGACGTGAACCAAGCTACTGTCTGATCCTAACAACAGGTATATGCAACTAAGTGGGGTTGATAAAAATGAGTGTCAGTCAAATATATATCAAAAATGTCAACACAGGCTAGTTGAACTGCTACCTGCATGTGTTCAACCATAAAAAAAAAGTTTGTTCAACTGCTATTAAAAATCCGACAATTTTATATGAAAACACAGGGCCTACGTGACTTCGTCTTAAGGTAGTTGATGATAGAGGCATAATATTCAGTGCGTATATGGCTCCACTTCCTAATCATATCCACCCAAGAAAACTAGTGAGATGGAATGCAAAAATAGAGCAGAAAGTTACAAAATAACAATCCTACTATGCAATTCTAAAAAAAAAAAAAAAGTAATTCTACTACCCTTGTTTTAGAATGTTTAAACCTAGATACAGTGAGCTACACTCAGAAAAATATATATTTAGATATTCTGCGAATATTGCTCTAGTTTTCATTTAAAATTAACTTTCATCTTTTCTTTTTACTTTCGTATGGGTACCCATCTTTTATTAATTTTAACGTCATTTAGTTAATATTCCTACAAACTTTATTTCCATGCATACTGAAAGATAAAACCTTCAATTAAAATTTACATCGATGTCGAACTATGAAAATAGTAGGCTGTGGCCTCCAGACCTCTGACTATTAGTTCCCAAAAATGTTTACGAAAACGTAATGCAATGATGGCATATTCACTACTATTGTATATTTTCGGAAAATATTTCAGTCCCTCCTAAACTCTTTCCTGTTTTTCCTTTATTCTTTCACAATTTTTGCATTTATTGATATTTTTATACACTCGCATAGTCACTATATGTTGAAGTGGCATACCAACGATATTGGTTGGTGAATTATTGTTCCATCTTACTATATTACTAGACATTGAACAGATTTAAATTAAGTGCAGTCCAGTATTTTGTTATAGATCAAAATGCATATTTCCAAGCACATTACAGACTGTTTATAATATCAACTTCAGAGGTTAATTATTTGGGTGATTTTACTGTGATTATAATATGGATGTGGAGACGGTTTGGAACAGTGGAAATGGTTTGATTCTCAACCACGTGGTTCAGGGTTTTAATCCTTCGATTTGCTTGTGTCTTTGCGTAAGGCACTTTTATGTTTAAATTGCTATAGTCTATCCAGCTGTATCAAATAGTTCCAGCAAATTGCTGGGAGGGGAGTAACCCAGCCTCATCTGCTTCATGCTACTTCAACCTGCCATCTGAATTTTAAAAAAAACTGGATATATGTCGGGATCATGCTGAAAATTTCGTCTATGAGGCGGTACTGACTGGATCAGGCAATTAAAAAAAAATAATAAAAGCACTGATGATGTATAAAGGAAGCCGACACTTTGAACAGTATTTTCTGGACAAATGGAACATCAAAGGTGCGCATTCCGGGGCGAATTCACTTAAAATTTAAAGCAAATCCAATTCGTTAAATCTTGAAGGCTATAAGCAATCATCTAATCACAATACAGGCTATGTAAACTAAGTACTGATAACCACAAAGAAACTGTAGATTACTTCATATTTCATTGTACTACATTAAATGTTATTTACAGATGGTAGAGTCAAATATGGGACAGTCTTCATGGTTTAAGTGTGTATTGTGGTAATTATAAAAGGTAATAAAAAAATAAACTAAAACGCCACTTAATGCTTGATAATATGTATTGTGAATATTCAATTCAATTTTATTAGCTACGAATGCCATCAAAGGCAATTACCCGCAACAGCAATAATTAATTACAATGATATATAAAATAATTACAAATCAAGATAATAATACAATTATTAAATAAAGGATTTTTAAACTAACGGACCAATTACATTATATGATAAACCCTTCTCAACAACCCTAAACTCTTCTCATAAACCCTTCTCAACAACAAATGCTCCCTGGGTGCTATTCAAACAAATATGGTAGTTTAACCAACTAAATTACGATCACCATCTTAAATCATACAAACGTTTATGATCAATGAAAAAAATGCATTGTGCATGCGACGATGTCAACACTTGGTATTAGAGCAGCTCTATGCTTAAATGAATGATCTTCCAATTGGTTTTTCTCTGCCCTGTAACACCTCATCAGATTATTTAGCCAACAGTTCAGCTCATCAATTTCAGCTTGGACCAATAAGCACTTTCAAAGTTTCCATCTTGAAAAAAAAAGAAGATATATTATACAAATATTTACTGGGTTTTAATCTGGTCATAGTTCAAAATAGAGCCAGAGGTGATCTGGAGACTGTGCTATATCCCGTGACAAATTCGAGGGACATAGGACATCAACAAGGGCTATATTTTGAACTACGACCAGATTAAAACCAAGTAAATATTTGTTTCATATACCACTACAAAGATTGTAGGTATTAGAAGTCACAGCTGGAACTATTGCCCAGATTTTAACCAATCAAATGCCTGGAATTTATGTAGTCAGTATATAATTAAATTTAAATAAGATCTATACGCTACAGTGCACATTTTATTAAGATTCTACTAAAAGCATTCTTTTCTCATTGGATACAGAAGCAATTCATACACAATGTACAGCCTCCTCCGCTATTTGGGATTCATTAGTAAATATGCAAGCAATCAACAACTCTACCATTTTCTTCTAGATCATTCACCTCCACCAAGTACCCATTTATACTCCTGGGTGAAGTCAGGCAAGAGCAGAAAAAGTGGCTTTGACCACGGACACATTAAATAAGACTAGCATTGGTCTCAAACTGACAAAATCTTGATTGAAATCCCAATGACTAAGACTGTGTCTATGAAACAATAGTTGTAATTTTGTGGAAGCATTTATTTATTTATTTATTACGGTATAAAATTGCACAACAAGCAGCCAGGCAGCTGAAAACGTTGAGCTTACAAACATCAAAAAGATGAAACAAACAAGTTAAGCAAGAAATTAAAAAAACCATCAGCAAAAATATATAAATGTAAATAATAATAATAATAATAATAGTAATAATAATAATAATAATAATAATAATAATAATAACAATAACAATAATAATAATAACAACGATAATAATAACAACAACAATAATAATAACAACAATAATTACCATCATTATCACTCTTACCATCATACCACCACCACTACTACAATACATGCTGTAATGAAGGTAAAAAAGGTAGTGTATAAATATAAACAGCCTGAACTGGTTGGGAAGAGGTGCAATAGTCCTCCTCCCTTAGGTGTAGACATTGTTATTTTCCTAAATGCTGGCTAACCATTCTAATCAAATTCTCAGATCACCACATGTCAAAACAGTATACAAGTTCACTACAGAACATTTTTTCCAATATTTAATTAGCAATTGGAGGAGACATGGAGGAGAGGAGCACAGAACAGAGAAGACTGGGAAGTCGATGAAGAGGCTCTCCACCTGCAGTGGAGCGAAATGGCTAGATGATGAATTAGCAATTAAAATTTGAAAATTAATGTACACTTATAGCAATTCACAAAAAGTTTACCTCTTCTCGTTTCTTCATCTCCACCAAGACTTCATCCAATTTTGATTGGAATCGTTGCTGAAAATAAAAAAGTATTCACTTTAAGCAATCGTTTGTATGAGTAGGTTTTACTCGCCTCCTCCTACTCATCACATGTTATGCTACCAGAACAAAGGGAAGGGAGGCAATTGCCCAGCCAGCACAGTCCACCTAATTTTCTTTTTTTTAAAGAAAAAAAAATTGGCAAAAAGGATAATTAAATCCAAATTTAAGTCTGAGAGTGTCATTTCCATCTATCTACATCCACCTTTCTACATAACCACGACATTTTGTAACTCAGCCCCAACCATGATATATAATGTGGATAAAAATTACTATTTCCAAAGTTATGAGTAAAAGTATTACAGCTTCTCTGTGCTAAAATATACAATACTGACACATTCTTATGTTAATTACTCAATTTAACATTTAGATACTGTATGCTGGTTTGAAAATCACGAGACTCATATGAGTTGACATGCTACATACCTTCAGCATAACATTATCCACATTAGCAATAGCTTCTTCCTGCATTCTCTTCTTCTGGTTTAGTTCAGTCATTTCCTGTTCTAACTCTGCATACCTTTTAACAAATTCATCTGTAAAACACAAAATTTAAATAATAACCATACAGTGGGGCTGCAATTTTATTACTTATTTCGGGCGGGTGGAGAAGGAGGGGGAGAAGGAGGAAGGGGTGGGGAGGGCGTGGGGATATACAGTAGTATTAGTGGGAAAACCCAGAACTCCATCACCTTGTAAGGGAAGAAAAAAATTATTTCATTGAAAAACATATAAAAAGCATTTTTACAGTCTTTGTGCACCTACTTGAAGTGGTTATTCTTAAAGGGGCCTTGGACTCCTTGTCAGAGAATTGGCCCTGGCGACGCCAGTGAGGCACACATCTATATCAACTGATTGCGTAACAAGTGGGGGTTAATGGAAGGGGAGGGGGTCGAACTTACTCTCTTGTTGCATGCTATCTTCTGTGATCGTGTCATCTTGATCCACAGCCGCTTCCAGTCCTTCAAGGGCGGCCGTAACATTTTGAACTTTCAACTCCTCCATGCCATGCTTGGAATCCCCGACCTCCATGATGTTAACGTCTTCTTCCTCTTCCTCATTCTCTGAGCTACTAACCTCTTCAAAGATCTGTTTCCAGTCGTTGCCATCTGAAAAGAAATCATCTTGTTAAGTCCTGGTCACACTATCAGGTTTTATATGAAAATTCTGCCATTAAAAATGCAAAATGATGTTAAAATGCAAGATGATGTTATATCACAAGTGGGTCCAGGAATTCGAAATACAGTGGGCCCAGGGGAGGACTTTCGAAAATAGAGGGTCAATA